GAGGGGCATCTGCTTGTGATTGCATAACAGACAATAAGATAAAAATTTAGCTCATGGTTCCCCTAAAAGGATCTTCTGTCATAATTCTGGTTTTTTTTTCCCTTAAATCTCAGAAAAATATGTCCAGGCCACATTTTACACCAATAAATAAATAAATAAAATATTTATCTAAATAAAATAATAAATTCTTAAAGAAAATTAAATTAATTTTTTAAGACAATTACATATTTTTAATCGCAAAGAAATACTGTAATAAAATCATTTCCTTTATTTTAATCAACAAAGCATCATAACAAATACTAACACAATGTATAAATGCTTTACTATTTAATCCACATATTTAATATAATTAATTTTATGTAATTATGTAATTTTAAGAACTGCATTACATTAATATGAATGTGTAGCTTAACTGTTACTGTTAATGTAAAAGAGAATGTGTAATGTAAATTAATCATAATAATAATAATGTAATGGTTAAGGCTTAATGGTAGACTTAATTGTGTTAAAAAATATAATTTCTTATTTCTCATTTTTGATTTTGGGGTTAAATATGACCTGGACATGTTCTTGACCGGTTTTGTAACATTCACACCCTCACAGGCATTACTGTAGGAGAACGACAGGACACATTATCAACCACAGAGTGGCATCTGTTGTTTGTAATGCAAAGTACAAGCTAGCAAACATCACAAAACAACAGGACACCCCACTCAAAATGATCCTATTTCCTGCTAAGACAAAATCACCCTTTCACCTGATCCTGTACTGAGGTACAGTACTGTAGCGTCATCATTTTGAAAGAGGATCAATGCCAAGTTTGCAACATTTAGCTCATGCAGCATCTATCAATCTGTTTTAGTGCATAGAAACAATAGGAAACATAGAAAAAGACAAAATTACTAAACATATTCCAATATCCAAAAGAAGAGTTAACCACGTTATAACAGTTTCTACAATATTCAGAAAAATATGCATTTGTTTTATTTAAAAAATTGACAAAACTTCAAGCATTCTTGCCCTTGATTGTCAGTTTCCTAAGCCTAAACCTTTTTCTTATCTATACAAAATGCATTCCCTCCCATGCTTTTGAGCTTTTAGTTTAGATAAAGATAAAGAAAGATGTCATCTGTGATCACAGCAGGCAATTGAGTTGTCAAGTTCTAATGTAATTAAGATATTCTTCCTGATGGAGGCGACCTAAAAATAACTCAAAACAATTGAATTGACTTGACTCCGAAAATCTAGTGAAGAAACGACACATACAGTACAGTGAACTGAGTGCAGTTTACAAGGTTGACCGCACTACCTTTGCACATGGAGTCTAGCCATGACTTCAACATCCCAATTCATTCATCTGAAAATGGCATATTTTTTCCAACCGCCTCCACTTGAGAAGCAGAGAGGTGCTGCATTTAGAAAACGTGGTAAAAAATAACCCAGCACCGTTGACAGAACTGCATATCTGATGCAGAAACCCAACTTTCCCATCATGCATCAGTGATTACTCATACTATGTAAAAAAAAAAAAAAAAAAAAGAATCTTGCAGATTATCTAAGTCACAAATCCTGGCTGCGGTCTATGTCCATAAGTGGATCTCATCAACCCATTACTGCTTGATTTGCTATCAGGCAGCCTGGTTCATGTTTCTTTGTGATGCTGCCAGAAGCTGGGCCACTTTTCCTCATCTCCAGCAGCTCTCAGCTACGGCAGACAGTGTCGGACAGCCTGGCTCCTGGCAGAGCAGCCCATAGCCAAATGAATAATACATTTCCTGCTAGAAAACCAGTCTCACCTACACTTTTACTTGTTTAGACGCGTCTTTTGTATCTGCATACAAAACCTACCTGAAACTCTTTCTACATTGGTGGCCCAAAGTTTGAAATACATTTTACTTTTTTTTTTTTTTGAAAGACCTCTCTTAGGCTCACCAAGGCTGTATTTATTTTTCAAAAACACAGTAAAAACAGTAATATTGTGACATATTATTGCATTTTAAAATAACTGTTTTCTATTTGAATATATTTTTAAAATGTAATTTATTCATGTGATAGCAAAGCTGAATTTTCATCAGCCAGTCTTCAGTCTTCAGATGCTCAAGACACATTTATTATTTTTATCAATGCTGAAAACAGTTTTTGCAGCTTAATTTTTATGGAAACTGTGATACACAACAATTCAAAAATTATGGGGTAGGTATAATTTTAAAAGAAAAGAAAAGAAAAGAAAGTAATAATTGAAAAATTTATACTGAAAAAAATACTTTTACTTTTATTCAGGAAGGATGGAATAAATCAGAAATGTCCATTTCAAATAAATGCAGTTCAATGAACTTTCTATTCATCAAAGAATCCTGAAAAACCGTGGTTTCCACAAAAATATTTAGCAGCAAAAACTGTTTTCATTGATAATAATAAGAACCATTATTAATAACTGAGTACCAATAACAATCGAGCAGCAAATCAGCATATTAGAATGATTTCTGAAGGATCATGTGACACTGAACACTGGAGTAATAATGCTGAAAATTAAGTTTTCCATCACAAGAATAAATTACATTTTAAAATATATTCAAATAGAAAACTGTTGTTTGAAATTGTAATAATATTTCGCAATATTACTGTATATTTTGATCAAACAAGTGCAGCCTTGGTTAGCATAAGAGACTTCTTCAAAAACGTTTAAAATCCTAACTTTTGGACACCATTGTATATCTAAGTTTTTTTCTACAATCTGCTTGCTTAGATTTTGGAGGACATCCCTCTCCTGCTCTGTCAGTGCCAAAGCGGTGGGCTAGAGTCAGTAGAGCTGACCTGTTTTAACCTGGCTGCCAAAACTCGTAGAAATGCTGGGATGGCGTTCATCTCCGATTAAGAGCTTATAGGGTTCCTGCTGAGAGCAATGATGGGACAGCGGTGAGGGCAAAGAGCTGACATTTGAAATGAGCTAATGAAATGCCCATAAAATCTCAAGGGAAGTGTGTCTTTTACAGCACAAGTGCCCTTAAATACTTTATGCAAGTGCATCTTTAGTGTTTGCGTGCCTTGAGGTTGTGTGTATGAGCTTGTCTCTAGGGGTGAGGTGGCTACTTGTCACACATCAAAACAGGCAAGCTGCATTTAGTGGCAGCGTGCTCCTGAACAAAACATGAACTGTATGGACAAGCAAGGATGTGAGCAGTCTTTATTTCCAGCCCCTAGTCAGTCAGCAAATCACAGTCACTTGATCATCAGGCAGCGGAGACAACAAAACTAATGTGCACTGTGGAAAAGACTCACAAACCAATGGAGTTGTTTTATACCATAAAATCATGAGAGTGCATGACATAATTTATGCCTCCATCTCATGCCTTCTTTTATCTCACTAAAGAGAAGGTGGGTATTATTTCAAGGTCACCCAGAGTTGTGGGATGTGCTCAGAGATGTGGTCACCCAGACTCTCTGTATCTCTCCAAGTCTACGATTGGGTCATTACACCAAAAAAAAAAAATATATATATATAATAATAATAAATTCAAAATTATGTGAGTAAACAATGACTTATAATAGTTATTTTTCTTTCCACAAAAAAAAAATATTTTAAATTATTTTATTATTTTATTTATTTTCCTTTTAATTTCTCTGCGGATTTGTTTTTATCCTATTCCAATAAATAAATAAACATATTTAGTAATTTATTTACAAAATATTTGTAAACATTTTTATAATATACATATAACAATATATTTTTTAAATACAGTTTATATTACATATATAGTATTTTGTATTTATTCTATGTAAATATTTTCAAATTTGTGTGTGTGTGTGTGTAAAATCATTAAATTTTATTTTTAGAAATTGCTAGTAATTGCTAAATGAATTATAAACTAAATTGTCAACAGGCATTGTTATATTCAACTATATAAAGTTTAGTTTTAAAAGTTTTAAACATTTAGCTTCACTTAGTTGTTTTTCTTTGGCATAATGTTTAAAATCTTACAGAAATGTACTTAATTGTACTTTTTTTTCCAACAAAAATCATCTCTTCAAAATGGAAAACACACCGTTTTGTGGAATGACCCGGTTGGCATGGTTGTATTTATCACTGATTTCTCAAATGATCAACCAAAATCAAGAGTCACCGATGGGCTCATTAGGATCATTTGGCCATATTGCAAACTGCATTGGACTATGCCTAAGCTGGTTTGCTGGTCTGTAAGCTGGTTTTAAAGAGGTTTGGGGCACTTTTCACGCTGTCCAGCAAACCATAGCTTTTTCAGAAAACAGATAACAGCATTTATCAATGAACTCACCCGTGCGTATTTTGAGGAATACGGGTCCTCAAAGAGCGCCCACGTCTTCTTCTGCCATCTGCTCCAGCGCCCGGACCTGTTATCGGGCGAGTCGCCTTGCGCCAGTCTCCGAGTCATCTCAACACCCTCATCCCCCTCGGCCGCCTCAGCCACCCCCTCAGGCTCCGGGTCTTCATGCCCGAGTTCAAGAGCACCCCCGGCGAAACTGTCCAAAGCCTCCTCCGCCTCTCGATGCTGCCGGTAGGTCATCCAACAACACGGTTCCACGTCCGTCTCGTCGATCCCCCAAAACGCCAGCTCCTCCTCATACAAAGGCCCGCACACGTCCGCCGGGCAATGCAGCTTGCCCGTGCGGTAATAGTTAAGAATGTGGGCGAAAACGCCGGGGTGACGATCGAAGAAAAACTCCCCGATATTCGCATCATAATCGAAGTTATTAGGCGCGTCGGGCTCCGCCAGCCAGGAGAGTCGCGTGCCGGGCAGGGTGCGCAGGGTGCTGCGGTAGGTCTGGTGCTTGATTCCTCCGACGTTGATCACGATGCGATCCTTGTCGTCCCCTTGGCCCATCGCGTACCTCTCTAGTCATATCTCCAACCCATGGACCGTCATCATACCGCTGGGACCCATGTTCAGAAAATTCAAATGTGTTTTCGATCGTGCCGGGTGCGTCTCAAAGTGTCCATGCCAACAATAGAAATCCAAAACCATTCACACACTTGAATGACTTCTAAGGACAGATGCGAACGCGTTTTCCCTCCAATAAGCCAATATCCCTCGATGCTGCCGGTAGGTCATCCAACAACACGGTTCCACGTCCGTCTCGTCGATCCCCCAAAACGCCAGCTCCTCCTCATACAAAGGCCCGCACACGTCCGCCGGGCAATGCAGCTTGCCCGTGCGGTAATAGTTAAGAATGTGGGCGAAAACGCCGGGGTGACGATCGAAGAAAAACTCCCCGATATTCGCATCATAATCGAAGTTATTAGGCGCGTCGGGCTCCGCCAGCCAGGAGAGTCGAGTGCCGGGCAGGGTGCGCAGGGTGCTGCGGTAGGTCTGGTGCTTGATTCCTCCGACGTTGATCACGATGCGATCCTTGTCGTCCCCTTGGCCCATCGCGTACCTCTCTAGTCATATCTCCAACCCATGGACCGTCATCATACCGCTGGGACCCATGTTCAGAAAATTCAAATGTGTTTTCGATCGTGCCAGGTGCGTCTCAAAGTGTCCATGCCAACAATAGAAATCCAAAACCATTCACACACTTGAATGACTTCTAAGGACAGATGCGAACGCGTTTTCCCTCCAATAAGCCAATATCCTGACCCCCCGGCTCGGGTTTGAGAGAGTCAGGAAGGTTTTTTACGGTGTCATTGGGCGCAAGCTGGTGCTGAACGGACAGCGCCAGTCATCCGTCGAGCCTTCATAACTCCAGTGTCCCTATTGTGTTACAGCTTCCCTTGGAAAAAAATAAGAAAAAAAACGCTACACGTCCGCTTTCTTTGAGAACGAACAGACAAACCAGCAGCAGCAGATCTTGCCTCCAGCAGTTCTAGTGGCCTTCAAAAAGGTAGGCACAATCGATGGTGCTTTGAATAGCCCGAAGTCCCATTGAAGCGGTTCGCTTGTGATGACGGTCTGAAGAAACAGGCGTCGCAGCAACAAGGGAGGGTCTTTCATTCACAGGACCAGAGCTCAATCTAAAATGTGTTTCCACGCGAACAAAAACGCAACATGTTCTCGGGGTGGAAGACAAAATACATTGCAACCAGTTTTAGCATGTAGTCCTTAAAACGAACTAGACTCTATTATGTTACTAGCGCTAATAGTAGGAAGGCTCCTGAAAATATCACTATACAATGCATTCTTTGTCCTTCAAAAAAATTAACATCTTATATTCAACAACTATTCAAACGACCTGGTTACTGTAATTAGCCTAAGTAAATACTAAGTATACTACTAAGTACTAAATGCTAAATACTAAGTAAATAGCTACTGCAAGTTGTGCGCTTACTAATGTAGGCCTAAAATTGTGTGCTAGTGTACTAGAATAAAGGTGTATCTAATAAGTATGCTGGTAATAGTACTAGAACTGAAACAGAACCATAAATCTGAAGTGAAAGTTAATATTTAAACCAAAGGGCTCCATTGAATTCATTAGTTGCTTTTCACTACAGGAATTATGGAAGCTTATTTCCACCACATAATTAACAAAAATAAAAAAAGGTAATTGCAACTTTTTATCACACAATTTCGACTTTTTCCTGCAATTGTGAGTTTATAGCTCACAATTCTGAATTTTTTCCCTCAGAAATGCGAGTTACTCTGAGGGAAAAAATAAAACAATTCTGAGGAAAAACAGTCAGAATTGCAAGGTTTAAACACGCAATTTAAGACAAAAAGTCCAAATTGTGAGATATTAACTCGCAATTCTGAGAGAAAGAGAGAAAAAAAAAACAGTTCAAAACAAGGAAGCTTATTTCTGCATGCCACAGAATTAAAAAATGAAAAAGGTGACTTTTTTTCCTGGAATTGTGAGTTTAGATCTCAAAGTTCTGCCTTTTCTTTGCAATTCTGAGAAGAAAAAAAAAGAATTGGGAGATATGAACTCGCAATTGTGCAAAAACATTTGAACTGTGAGATATTAATTTGCACTTCAGAAAAAAAATTCAGAAATAAGGAAGCTTATTTCCACCAAAGAATAAAAAAAATAAATATAATTTTTAAAAAAGATAACTGCACATTTTTTCTCCTTTTTTATGACTTTCTTACTGCAATTGTGAGCTTATATTCTGAGACAAAAAACATCAGAAGTCTGAGATATAAACCCAGAATTGCAGGAAAAAAGTCTGAATTGTTAGATAAAAAGTAGGCTAACTATTACTTTTTTTTGTATTTTTTTATTCCATGTAAACTCTGAATTATGAAAAAAAAAAGTCTGAAATTATGAGATAAAAAGTCGCAATCTTTTTTAAAAAATGTTATTCTGTGGCAAAAATAAGCTTCCATAAATAGTGACTAATATGTAATACAAACATACTAGTATCTAATGAAATAAAAAAGATACTACTTACCTTATAGTAGTTTAAAAAATAACTACTAGTAACATAACAACAGACACTAGTTAGTTTTAAGGAATAAATGTCAAAACACACTGTGTCCTATTTGTATGAGCAGCAGGTAACCTTGTGCATGCTGGAGCTCAGCTTGTGAACTGCTCCGGGTCCATTTTTTAAGGACAATGTGGTGATGAGGAGGAGGTGCACGACTAAAATCAGAGCACATTTGCCTGGGAGGCGTGTATGACCGCGTACACGTGGAGGGAGAACTAGGGAGGAGGTGATTTGTTGTATTTTTTGGGGGACATTCGTGTGCTGCCTCCCAACCGCAGACCTGTGAAAGGGAAATGATACATGAAATATCAGAGAAGTCCTGCAATCTCACTGTGCCTTATGGGCAACTCAGAATTCATAAATTAATGAGAAAAGCTTTTATTTTTCCATTAGAGAAGCTTTAAGCTGTTTGGGGACCAGATACACCAGTCCTCAAGTGGGACCATTGCAATTGTAGAAATTTCATTCAAATAGATTTTTAGATGTTGATACAGATCTAAACTGACTAAAGTATAAGCGCCTTCAGTTTAGAGATAAAGGTAATTATTTAAATCTTTTTTCTGTATGCTGCTTGTAATGGCATTTCTGAGCAGTGCGAGCCTGCAATGCTTATGTCTGCCTATAGGTGGAAGCAAAGTGTTTGTAATCTTATTGGTACACCAAATATCAAATAATGTTTGAACAATTTTATTCTAAATAAATACGTAGCTACATAAAAACATAAAAAGTAAATAAGAAAAACAAGATAACTTTTATTCAATAATTATCCCGGCCCAATTTAACATTCCATAGAAGGCTGTGCCTGTTTAGAAAATTGTAAAAAGAAGAATGCAAATAACTTAACGTGAAAGGGTTCCATCTTCTTAATATAATTCTCAATGTGTACATTGTCCTTTTAATAGTCTCCTTCACCCTCCTAACAAAATATTAACTATATTAAGACCATATTACAAACTTTCTTTCTCTCTCTCTCTCTATATATATATACACACAGTTATATGACTGTAATTGTATTCAAATTCTATTATAGTTACTAATTAAACTACTAAAATGTGTGTGTGTGTGTGTATAAATAAATAAAAAAATTAAAATAAAAATAAAAAATTAATTAATTAATGTTACATAAATATTAAAAAGAACACTCGCCCTAATGTTCAGTTACTAATGCAAAATTACTAATGCAGTTTTAACTATTTATTATGTAATTGTTTTTCTTTTTCTCCCTTTATTTTCTTATTTAACCTTTAAATTGCTAATGTATCCAGGAGATTACAGACATTGTACAGAAAGGACAGTGAGTGAGTGGCCTATTTTCCGAGAATATTGAAAAGGGGGCCCCTGTAATAACTCGTGTGACTTGGTAAAAAAGGTCAATTCACCATCTTTATCCAAAAGTAACATGGCACCATGCTGTGACCAGGCTGCTGATCTTGAGGTAAATGTTCCTGGGAGATACAAACTGTAAACTTGAAAATAAAAACAATAATTGGAAGAAAAACACAAAATTGTATTATTTGTATTTTAATGTGTTAAAAATAGCAATAAATGCATTTTTCTGAGATGTTCCTGATATTTTGATTAATCAGTAGGCCTATTTGTAACAAATGCTACTGTAAGGTCCAGTATAAATTTCATAATACACAGCAATAAACACTCTTTCACCTATAGCAACGTTTTTATATAGCTGTTTGTGCAGTTGTCCTTAAGTAAGTCAATATCACCAATAAACAAACTATCTTTGCCATACTGTAAGTGTACTCAACTTCTTAGAAACACCTGTCAGTTCACAGAAACACATGTCGGGAAGTTAACCCAGGTGAAAAAGAAATATATTTAAAATGTGCTTTTTCAGACATACTTACTATATTTAAATTATACTATACTAAGTGCATATTAAATGTATTATTTTGAAACAACTTTAAGTATATTAAGTGTATTTCAAGATATGTTTAAGTTGGATTTTAATCTATTTGTAATATATTTAATATATTGAAATTGTGTTAAAATGGAACCACTTTAAGTATATTTAGTGCAACTTCAGTGTATTTCTTAAAATACATTTAAAATGTCTTTTTAATACTTCATGAACTACAGTTAGAGTATATTTGAAGCATCGTTTTAATGTACTTCAAGTACATTTCAATTGTATTTCAGCTCATTGGAAATGCATTAGCATTACACTACTAGTATATTATAAAGCTGCTTTTTTCAGTATATACACACACACGTACACACTTTGATATCTAGAAAACTTGAATGTATTATATATTGTTGTGTACATTACAAATATTCATAAAGTACACTAAAAAAGGACAGCAGCATATATACTTCGGTGAAAAACAAAACAAAACATACTATTAAATGTATTAAAAATGCACTTGAAATACAAGTATGTTTATAGTATATTTGTATTACTACAAACATACTCAAGTACATTTTAATACATTATAAAAAAACATAAATAAAAAAAGACTGAAAAGCTATGGCAGAGCTATCTTTTCCATTTGTAGAACATTTCAGTTATACCGGCCTTACTAAAAAGTACAGAATTTTACATCAATGAATAAATAAAAATTACAATGCAATTTTCTGAAGAAAAAAAATACATAAAAAAGACTGCACACACACAAGCTATTCACTTATGCACTTTGTTTTTCAAAGACTGAAGATGATAAAGTTCAAGCAACAGAATAGGGAGGGATGGAGGGGGTTTTGGAGGTGGACAAGGAGATGGCGTAGGGATGGTGAGAGGCAAAAGTGCGGGGATGATGGCAGGATGTGGCGAAGGGATGGTGATGGGAGGATGACGATGATGCCCTGGCAGCTTAGATGGTGTTTGGCACATGGCACAGACCCAGAGCATCCCAGTGCTGACAACACACGGCAGAATCGAGGGAGCGAGGAGCCAAGATGTAGATGGTGTGGCTGCCAACATCTGGGGGCCGACCGATGGAGACAGAGCTGGTGGATCCGAAGGCGCAGATGGAGGGCTGATGGAGCTGAGCGTCGTAGCAGGTTCCGGAGACCTGGGCACAGCCTAGTCGTCCTGACTCCTGGCATACAATATTTTGCACCAGAGCCTTGCAGCTTTAGAAAAAAACAAAACAGAAACAAAATTAAATAACAGATTTTTACATGAATGACTGAAAGCAAGCACAAATTAGCCAGCTGGAATGGACACATTGCTAACGTTTTTCTTCCAAGATTGACCAAATCACCCTCCATTAGGCCTGATTCAAAAATCTCTATAACAGAGGTGATACAACATGAAAATATACTTACTATTCCTTTGCTTGTCTCTGCACTCAGATTTCAGTTAGTCTTCTATAGCAGCCGATCTGAAAAACAACCCATGTTAAAGGGGTCATA